GCCTGTCATTAATATTTTTTATAGTGAAAGGGTGACAAAGGAACACACAGTCCACCTGATGGTAAATGAATATTGTGGCGCATAGACAGTAGATCTATCCACGTTAGGTAATCAAAATGCAGAGGCGTTGTCACCCGTCAGGACTAAGATGGAATGCCTCGTTTCCAGTAAAAAGGATCTCCGGTTCTCTACACTTACCAAACGAAACACAGCAGCTTTAAGTTGCTATTTTACGCCTGTATTCTGTGAGAGCGAGGTCTTTCCCCGGTCGAGCCGACCCATTCGTGCTACAACTATACTATTAATATAAATATAACGAATATTTCATTACAGCGGATGCAAGTGAACTTACATTATATAGCTTCATTTTGTAAATATGTTGGAGAGTGTATTTAACGTTCTATACAAAACTGTCTTCCTATTTTATGTATTAATTTTCGAAATAGCTCGAAAGTTTACACGTGAAATTTGAAAATTTAAAGGCAAACATCTTAATATCTTTTTAAATGTTTTAAACACCTGAATCATCTTAGGAACTTCAACTTCACTTACCTACTTTAAAAATTTACGAAAGAAAAGTATTTATTTAAAAGCAAAGTATGTAATTGAGGTTAAAGTTTTGGCCGAGCCTTCAGACTGTTAATAAATAATCATTAATAAGGAGTGTTGCAAAAATGTTATCAAATATTGTTAAACTAAATAAACGAATTATAGATCTTATATTATTCCATTCTCTGTAATTGTCTCAACAGATTTAACCGGTTTAGAGACGACTTCAAAAAAGGATTTCAATTCGACTCTAGTAAGGTTTTTTTGTATGTATATTATGTTATATTTATTTAAATTTTGTTAATTGTAAACCAATTTTATGATTCTTTTTTACCCGACTGCCAAGGAAGGGTTATGTTTTTCGCGCGTATCTTGTATAGGTACGAGTATATATGTTTGTAAATTTCTTTATTACCTCGTATCTTCCAAACGGCTGAATGAATTTCGACATTTAAGGTATTGTTATATTCGTCTTAAAACCCCAAGTGTTCTTAGATAGTTTTTTGAAAAAAAAATGGCGCATTTTGGTAAAAAATAGTAATACGTTAATAAAAAAATTAACCTAACCTATCGCGTAGGGTACCAAAAAAAAAATTGACTATCTGACGGATAGGGCCGTCATCTACCCCGGTCGCAACGGTGAGTGGAACCGGCGAGAGATGTCGTGCGGTGTCCCACAGGGTTCGGTTCTGGGGCCGCCCCTGTGGAACATCGGTTACGACTGGGTGCTGCGCGCCGACCTCCCTACCGGCGTCAGCGTAGTTTGCTACGCTGACGACACGCTGGTACTGGCACAGGGGGGGTCGTACGAGGCGGCGGCGGAAACTATGACACGCGGGGTTGCGATAGTCGTTGAGAGGATCCGGCAGTTGGGTCTTGAGGTGGCTCTGCACAAGTCCGAGGCCATGCACTTCCATGGTCCTCGGAACAGGCCACCACCGGGATCCTCAGCGATGGTAGGAGGGGTATCCATCGGCGTCGAGTCGACGTTGAAGTACCTAGGACTCGTCCTCGACGGCCGATGGAACTTCGTTGAGCACTTCCGACGTTTGGCTCCCAAACTGGAACGGACCGGGGCTGCCTTCAGGCGGCTCCTGCCGAACCTGGGGGGGCCAAACGCCTCCTGCCGGAGGCTCTACGCGGGGATTGTGCGGTCCATGGCCCTCTACGGGGCCCCGGTGTGGGCGCGTGGTTTGGCGCGGCTTGCCGTCCACCACCTGAACGCGCCCCAAAAGGTGGTTGCCGTGAGAATGGTTCGCGGCTACCGCACGATCTCCCGCGAAGCAGCGTGCCTCCTTGCCGGATTGCCGCCGTGGGATCTGGAGGCGATAGTCCTCGCGCGCCTGCACGAATGGCGCGCGGAGGCACTATGCCGGGGGGAAACCCCGCTGCCGCGGCAAGTTGTCGTGCAGCGGACAGACTTCCGGCATGATCTCATGGCGACATGGAAAGAGCGACTGTCGCAACCCCGTGCTGGGCACGCCACTATAGCGGCGATAAGACCCCTCTTTGAGGAGTGGTTTGAGAGACGCCACGGCGTCCTCACCTTCCGCCTGACGCAGGTCCTCACCGGACACGGTGTGTTCGGGAGGTTCCTGCACCGAATCGGGCGGGAGGAAACGCCCGGGTGCTCCCACTGCGAGGATCGACCGGAGGACACGGTGGAGCACACCGTGGAGGTGTGCCCTGCCTGGGCGGAGCACCGCCGTGTCCTCGTAGCGGCGATAGGCGGCGGCGACCTCTCGCGTCCGGCCCTGGTCGAAGCCATGGTCCGGAGCGGGACGGAATGGGATGCCGTCACCACCTTCTGCGAAGCAGTGATGCTAGCGAAGGAGGTGGCGGAGCGGGAGAAGGAGAGAGCAGCAGCTTTCCTTCCCGGCCGCCGCGGGAGACGCCCCGGGCGTCGGGGGCTACGTCGTGGCCCCCGGCCACCGTAGGCGCGGGCCTGTGGACGGCGAGCAATGGGTAGCTCGCCGTCCGTCTGTCTAACGACGACAGGCCGTGTCGACGGCGCGTTTTGTTCCACGCGCGCCTCAAAGAGCTGTCAGCAGCGTGAAGGGGCCCGCAAGGGCCGACGCCTGCCGGGGCTGCGGGCTGTTCGAAAGAGATACCGCGGCTCCGGAACGTAAGGGCACTGAAGGAACACGGATGGTTTTTAGTCAGTAAAAGTCTGACACTCCCTTCCGCTCCACCCAGAGCGAAAGGCGTCATTTGATGATTTTCCATCCGCAAAAAAAAAAAAGGGTACCAAAATTAAGGAAATTAAAAGGAGATTACAAAAATATATATACGTTAGTTATATGTTTAAATTTAATGAGGTATAATAAATTGGTTTAAAAAGTTTTTGATAGCGTATAAATGGGCCGTTTGTGTCGGGAGCTCTTGCTATCCTATGAAATTTAGTTCATAAGTGTTTCGGGACAGTAAAAAGTAATAATAAAATAAATAATTAAAAAATCAAAAACCTGACTGCAAAAAAGACAAATTAAAAGTAATGCACTAAAAAGACCGAACTATAAACAAAGTAAACTATACTTCGTTTTAACAGAATATATTATGAGCCGAAAGCCTAAGTTAAATACCCGCATTAAGTTTAGTAGCAGGCGGGACTCTATTGCAAATTATAAACCGAAAGAAAATTAATGAGTTCCGCTCCGAGGCTTAGCAATGAATATAGCGCTAAGGACCGCGGGTTCGAATCCCGCACGGAAAAGTACTTGTGTGGCCTACAAATAATTGTTTCGGGTCTGAATATTTGTCCTTGTGTATATGTATGGAGAAGAAGAAAATCCTAGTGTTAAGGTAACGTTTTAAAAACAAACAAAAAATGTAACTTTTAAGGCGAAAAACAAAGCTAAAAATTAAACTTTTAATAAAAAGCAAAAGGCTACATTAAAGAACTTAAAAAAGTAAAATAATTTGAAATACTGAAGACAGAGCAATTAATTCTTCTATAATAATCTATGTCTTATCAAGTCTCTACCTTCCCGCTTCCTTTGGTTTGAAGGATGCAATATGGGAAGGCAAGAAATTATTACAGCAATGAGGCTTCGTTCTGGACATATTCCATTAAACAAATTTGCGTTTATGATGAAAAAAGTGAATTCACCAAATTGTGTCAAATGTGGAGTTCTGGAAGATACTATCCATATTATGATGGAATGTGAACGGAACGAAGCATATAGAAAACTATTAGGTTTTGACAAAAATAGTGTTGGATTGTGTAATAGTATTTTAGCTTTTCCATTGTCGGATAAGGCTAGAAAACTATATAAACTAGTATTGTTAGGTATTAAGAACAGATAATTTTTTATTATTGTTTACGTGAATTTATCATTGTTGATTATATGTATTTGATTGTGTACCTATGAGGGTGACATGATCTAATAGATCAAACCCTCTATAATCAATAAAGATTTAAAAAAAAAAGTCTCTATCTATACAAATAAATAAAATTGGAGTGTCTGTTTGTAATGTCAATATAACAGCTTTTTTACTAAATGCATATGAAAGTATAATAATAATAATAATATTCCACAACTATCAAACAACGCCATCTAGTCCCAAGCTAAGCAGAGCTTGTGTTATGGGTACTAGACAACTGATAAACATACTTATATATTTCTAAATACATAAATATTATAGATAAATTACACCCAGACACAGAACAAATGATCGTGCTCATCACACAAACATTTGTCCTGGGTGGGAATCGAACCCACGACCTCCGGCGTAGCAGTCAGGGTCACTAACCACTAGACCAACAGGCTAGTCAAAAAGTCAGTATATACGGTACTTATAACAAAAACACAATTTTTTTAATTTTTGTCTGTCTGTCTGTTTGTTCCGGCTAATCTCCGAAACGGCTGGACCGATTTCGACGAGACTTACACTGGCAGATAGCTGATGTTATAAGGAGTAACATAGGCTACTTATATTTTAGAAAAAGAATTAGAGTTCCGCGCAACGTAACTAAAACCCTAAATTACACGCGGGCGAAGTCATGGGTAACAGTATTAAATCAAAATCAATAGCTGTCCGTTAGTCTCGCTAAAACGGCTCGAACAATTTGGATGAAATTTTTTCTGTGCGTTTGAGAACCCTGGATGGTTTAGATTCACAATTGGACCCGGTAGGTGGCGCTGTGTTCGATATCCAGAAATCACCCGTGCGAAACTGGAGCAGATCGCTAGTTATATAATAAATTAAATTACCATCATTAAGAGCTTTTAAATTCTTGGACAAACCAATAAACAATTGGGCAAATTAAAAAGACAGGAATAACACAGCGGGAGAGCTAAAACGTTTATATTAGTTTTTATTTTTCACACAATTATCATTAGTTCAATTTTGGTTTTGAAGATTTCCACTTAACTTCTTCGTCTTTGTCCTCAGGTTGTCTTCTAGAGGGCTCACGACCCCCACCCGATGTGCCACCGCGCAATCCCACCATGTCCCGTCTGAATGGCCGTATCACCGGAAATCCAGCGGATCTGGCTGACTTCGAACCTTCCTGTCTCGTTCGCACGCCTTCCGGAAATTTCTACGTGCCTTCGGGTTAGACAAATATAAATTATATAATCTAATATTCCCAAGTAACTATATTTTTAGCAAATGATTAATATGAAACTATAATTCAGCAGCGTATAACAAAGTACAATTTTTTTTGGGTGGGGCTGGTAGGAGTTTGAAAGGCTCAACCCTGCCATTACTCACAATAATTATTTCATTGTGACTCGCTTGATATATCTTAAGCGTTGCTTGTGTGATTGCACAATGATTTCCGTTTAAACATGCAACGTTTATTACAGGAGATATTCAAAAGAATCCGTCTATGGACTACAAATCGAACTCATCGTGCAGTAGTCCAGGCAAACAAGAGAAGAGTACATTAGAAAGAATGGACAGGAGTGATCGACATCCCGCGTTCGGGGCTCCTGTGCCGGTGCTTCCAGTGAGGAATAACTTAAGAGCCTCACACTTCACACCTGCCGCATCCCGATTTCATTTCAGGAAAGGCCTCTCATCTAGATGCACATGGAAATGCACCGCTATAGTATTTATTGTGCTGTTCGTTTTACTTTTAGCCATTGCCTCTTATATGTCAGGTAGGCATACTGTAACATTTTTTTTTTGTAAATAAGTACTTTTTTTACAAATTAATAACAAAGTTGTAACTTTATTTACAGCTTCCTATTTCGTCAACTGGTCTTACCAGAACTCCAAAGCATGTACAGTTCTAGTTGGTGAGTCAACAGAAATATTTCCAGCATCGAAAGCAACGACTCTGGAATCGAATAATAAATCCCTGGTTAGACCGCACCAAAGCTCAACATCCACTAGCTCAGGTAAACAGGATCTTCACATGCGCCCGCGTAGAAGTATAGATGGGCATGCTTCTTCTTTATCTTCTGTTTCTTCCACGAATTCTTCCACTTCTGTAGATTTGCATGAGCTAATCACTACGCCTTCTTTAAACACTGTTAGCTTAGAGCATGGTGTGTCGTCGGTTCTAAACAATGTAACTGACATTTCAAATGAAGACCATACGGAGGGGGGTGAAGCTTTGGTAGCCAAAAGTGTTGGTTTGTCTCTTAACAACGGTGACCTAACAATTAATAACACCACGCTTAATATTCCACATAATAATGAACCCACAGCAAAAACAACATCTAAATTTGAAGAAACAAGAAGCAGAAATAATAAAACCAAAACCATACTAAACAAAAATTATCGGACTCCTATCGAACAATCACCAGAAATTAAAAATGCTGAAAAAACTAAACCTGACATTGCGTATGATCCTGAATTAATGCAAAGTGATTCCTTTCCATCTATATATTCATATGGTGTTCAAAAGCTTCAGTATTTAAAACTACTAACAAGATTGAACGAAGTAAATGAAGAATTACATATATTTTCAAATGACACTGTCGAAATGAATGATAAACCCGAAAAGTTCCATTACGACAGTGATCGCAAACCTTCTTCAAACATTCTTACTACCATTGCTCCCAAAATAATAACACCAGAACAAACAATAAGTACAAATATACCCCTAACCATGAAACCTTTACTTGATGAGACTGATGCCCCTTTGACAACAAACGTATTCACTGCACATACTGAGCATGTTGTGTCATCACCAAATGTTGCTGTTACTAATAATGTTTTAAATGCAACTACAACCACTGAACCCACAAGCGTACCTAATGAACCTTCCACTTCTAATATCGTTGTAAATTCAAAGACTCCAGATGTAATGTCTAATAAAAAACATGTTTTGATTAACCTCACAATTTCTGCTGATGATGCTGAAAATTCTTCTTATAAGCCTCTCTATTCATTAGCAGTAACTGTTCCTACAATGGGTGACACCAATGAGATTCCAACAGTAAAAATCACTCCGTTGGATTTGGAACCCACAAAGCCTACGAATTTTAACAAACCTGTGGTTGTTCAAAGCACAACTAAATCGAATAAAGATGTAGACGTAGAAAACAATTGGGGAGGTAGTTGCGAATGCTCATGTCCAGTGTGTGATAGTAACTCTGTCGATGATTTCTATGAAGATTCTGAGTCCGAAAGAAGCACTACCATTTCATCGCAAAATACAGAATCAAGTGCTATTCCAAGCCCAGCACCCGATAGTGACGAATACACAACAGAAAATATTGATTCAACGCAATCAAATGTAAGTCCGGAAATAACAACTGAACTAGGCAGTTCCTTTGAGTCTTCAATTAATACTGAAATGACGATGGCAACGGATTTAACTGAGAATACAATTGATTTAACAACTGAACCACTGGACGTTATTTCCACAACTGAAGGTCTAAAGTGTGTTTGTCCGAAAATTACGCCTCCACCCATCCTTATATTGGAAGGTGAGGTCTTCAAAATAAATTCAAATAACGATAATTTACTAACGTCTACCTAAAACCATCAAACTGTAAAACCATGACATCTCAGAATCATAATTTTGTACTTAACCTACTAATAAGCATGGACAATGGGAAAATTCATTACTGCTTTTTTATAATTTGCACGTGCTTTGTAGAACTATTTTAGAAATTTTAACATGTAGTACAAATTTCCTCTCATGCGACTTACAAAAAATATATTCATAATCATTACAATACACTATAGGTAGCATGATACTTATTAAAAAATCATATCTTTGAATGAACGAATTCGCATAGATACTTACCATATTTTATTTTATAGGTGCCCGAACTTTTCCAGCCCAGTCCTTCCCACCCGATGGGACAACTTTCAAACAAATAACTTTAGGTGAAAAATTATCAAAACAAATCCCTCCATATAGTTATTGGAACATGCAGTTCTATCAGTCAGAAGCTTCTTACGTAAAATTTGATTACTTGATACCTCGAGGGGCTTCTATAGGTGTTTATGCAAGAAGGAATGCATTACCCACCCATACCCAATATCATTTCCTGGAAGTCCTAAGTGGATTTAAAGCAAGAACAACTAGATCGTCACATGTAAGTAAATTAACGAAGCACGCTTTTGAATTTGACCAGGTAAATCATATTATAATTTTAAATATCTTACAGCCATCCGTTAAAAAAGAAGTAACACATTACATGGAGCAAGGTCATTGGTTCCTATCACTTTATAATGATGACGGCGATCCGCAAGAGATTTCATTCATAGCTGAAGTCGCTGAAGATATGACTCATAACTGTCCTAACGGATGTTCAGGAAAAGGGGAATGTCTTATGGGTCACTGTCAGTGCCAACCGGGTTTTGGGGGAGATGACTGTAGTGAAAGTGAGTAATCATACTTTAACAACGTCATAACGTTAATATTAGTTATAAATATGTATTTCCTAATGCTATTTTATATAATTATAGGTGTCTGTCCGGTACTATGCAGCCAACGAGGTGAATACATCAATGGCGAATGTCAGTGTAACCCTGGATGGAAAGGCAAAGAATGTTCCTTGAGGCACGATGAATGTGAAGTACCTGACTGCAATGGCCATGGTCACTGTGTCAACGGAAAATGCTCATGTGTGCGAGGATATAAAGGGAAATTTTGTGAGGACGTTGATTGTCCACATCCAACTTGTTCCGGCCATGGCTTTTGTATTGAAGGTGCTTGCGTTTGCAAAAAAGGATGGAAGGGTTTGGATTGTGCGACAATGGATAAGGACGCTTTGCAATGTCTACCCGATTGCTCAGGTCATGGAACATTCGACGTTGATACACAAACTTGCACCTGTCATGCACGATGGTCTGGAGACGATTGTTCGAAAGGTAAGTTAAACATTTACATTTCAAAATTACAAGGTTCCTTTTATTTTCTTTTATAATTACACAAACATAAAGACATTTTATATATTAGATCTTTATATCAATAATAATATTCCAGAGGTTTGTGATCTCGATTGTGGCCCACATGGACGATGCGTTGGAGAATCTTGTGTGTGCGATCAAGGATGGACCGGAGAATACTGCACATCGAAGCTCTGTGACGCACGTTGCAGCGATCATGGCCAATGCAAGAACGGAACATGTCTGTGTGTTTCGGGCTGGAATGGCCGCCATTGTACTCTCGAAGGATGTCCAAGGGGATGTGCCGGTCATGGTCAGTGTAGAGTTGCCAATGATGGCCATTGGGAATGCAAGTGTTTCGATGGCTGGGATGGGCCAGATTGCACCACACTTAAGGAACAAATATGCGACGACTCTAAGGATAATGACAAAGGTAGTATAGTACCGACATTTAAGATAGTAGTTTTATGTTAGATAATATTGTACATTTTTAGATTTAAACATCTAAATATTTAGATAAACGAATTAAACGAAAACTATACGTTTATTATTTATTCAGATGGTCTAGTGGACTGTGAAGATCCGGAATGCTGTCAGAGTCCAGCCTGTAAAGGCAGTCAACTTTGTGTATCGTCCCCCAAACCAACAGACATCTTACTCAGAAAACAACCGCCCGCTATCACCGCTTCATTCTTTGAAAGGATGAAATTCCTTATCGACGAAGGTAGTCTCCAAAACTACGCAAAACAGGAGACCTTTAACGAAAGGTGAGGATTTAGCTGTTCGATGTTATTTGTTTCGTCAAAAAGCAAATATAAGGATCACTTGACGTGTTCATAATGCGTAAGCTAACTTTTAACACACGTCAAGCAATCTCTTATTCTCAGGAGCTTTTAAACACAAATATAACCGGATATATCTATTATATAAGATACGCAATGTTGTGCCCCAGTCAATCCTAATGTTTTATTTATAAAAGTGTTTCACTGTTTCGTTTCTTTTCCTTACACATTGTAATAAAGATAAGTTATTTTATGTTTATTATAATGAAATGGACTGTAAAATTAATATTTTCTTCAAAGGTTACTTAATTGGCACTTGCATGAACATGGATTTATTTATCGAAAACTTAGCTAAGCACATCGCTGCTACTAACGTATTTTAATTTTCTTCTTCCTTAATAATAATGTATCTAATGGTACTCATTCTTTGTCATTTCTCGTCTTTCTGCTGCGCAGTATGTTTTGGAACCACTTCAACACGAGGTAAGATCTAGTCAGATTTGGGTAGGAGTGTGTGTGTCCATTATTATAATATAATATCGTCTATTTTATTATAATGTACTTTGTACATATTTATATAAATTGGTTCGCGACTATATACTATAATTACATATGGTGTGTGCATGATTATTTATGTATAGATACCTGCAATCGTGTCCTGTGAGTTTTGTGTTATGCTTTTTATTTAATTATATTTATATTTATAACGATTTCACACTTTAAAAAGTATTTAGTATGTAGGTAGAGTACGTTAACCAGAGTCTTGTACAAATTGTAAAGAAATAAGATTCACGTCATGTAAATGTTATTTGGGCGGTACCAAAGTACTATAGATAAATAAATAGAACACATTCGCTTTATGAGATATATTATGATGAATTTAGTTAAAAGTATAATAGTTGGTAATAATGTTTGAAATACCTTGCACAAAGAATTTAACCTGAATCTCTAGACCCTCAAAGCCCAAAAGTAATGTCGATGCAAATCGTAAATTTATTCACAGTAATTTCTTTTCTTAAAATTTTGAGCACAGATTAATTATAAAAATTAGTTTGAAGTTTTGCTATAGCTATTAAGTAACATAATTGTGACCTTTAATCAACACCTTTCCAGCCGATCTGCCGTAATCAGAGGTAGAGTAGTGACTTCGTTGGGATCAGGCTTGGTTGGAGTCAGAGTTTCCACTTCTACGCCTTTAGAAGGATTCACACTGACTCGCGAAGATGGTTGGTTTGACTTGTTGGTGAACGGGGGAGGAGCCGTCACTTTGCACTTTGGAAGAGCGCCTTTCAAGAGGTCGACACAAGTTGTGTTCGTGCCTTGGAACGAGGTTCGTAAGACACTTTACTGACAAAAAACTTCGACAACATTTCTGGAGGACTCGCAGTAATCCACACGAGGACAGGCGGGCTGACTGAAAAGTACTAGACGTTAGATGAAATAACTCAGAAAGCTTTATTTTTATCTTCAAAAACATATTTTTTATTGTTTTGATTTATATTTCCGCCAATATCACTTTGAAATGTATGTTTTTCAGTGAGTTTTGTCTATTTATATTACGAAATAGTTAATTGGTTCATCAGGTCACCGACCGCTATTAATAAGCACAATTTTAAAAACTTTACTTATTGCACAATTTGCTATAAATATTGCCTCAAAAATGTCCGTTTCATGTTGGATTACTGTGAGCTTAAAATAAAAATTAATAAACCTCTTGAACACTTGCTTATCCAATTTCCAAAGTCCCTTGACGTTAATAACTCTGGCAACTTCCACCAAAGTTCGTATGAAGCAATTTAATTTTTTTCCGCTGCCGAAACATGCGAAGCGGCTTTCAAAGAGGCATTAGGATTTTTCAACTCTCAATTTAACTTGAAACTTGATAAAGCTGTCTAAGAGTTTTTCGTAAATTCACCTCACACAAAAGGTAATTACTTGTAACTAGCGACGTACTAGTGATTTTAATCATTTAAGATCTCTCACATATTTGATAGGTCTTCTGTAGACTTAAAAATATCTTATTTTTTTCTTTATAAATTTTAATAAATCCGCCGTGTAGTGATGGCGTAATAATCTAATACCCATATCATACCGAAGGTGTCTCGTAAGAGGCAGCATCTTCGTGATAACAAGTTAAAATAAAAACAAACATCGGTTGCCAACCCACCTGCCTAGCGTGGTATCTATGACGAATATCTTCTACATAGATTACTGCATCTATGGGGAGGCCTATGCTCAGCCTACGCCAAACAGACTCAGAAAGTTGGTAATTTTTAACCCAGTGTTGGATTGCTGCCCGTCTGAGTGTGAAAGTGCGCCTGTACTTGCGCATACACTCGTGCACTCCGTTGAGACTGTTATTACCTTTCCAGCTGTTAACCGCGTAGATTAAAGAAAATTCTTCTTACAACGGAACAGACCCATCTTCAGCAATGGACTTTAGTTGATTGATTATTTGCATTTCAGGTTGTGATTATTGACGAGGTGGTGATGACGACATCGGACGAGAAAAGTGGAACGGGGCCACCACAGGCGTGCCTCGCCCATGATTACGATTTAATGAAACCTGTAGTACTGGCGACATGGAAGCATGGGTTCCAGGGAGCTTGTCCCGATAAGAGCGCGATCCTAGCGGAATCTCAGGTATGCGAAGTAAAAGTTTATTCTACTATCAACAGGTTCCTATCTCATGTACACACGTATACACACAATAAAAATTAAATACGGTTTATACTGTATTAGAATAAAAAATAATGATCTTACAGTCTACTCAGGGTGAGTAGACCACTGGAGCCCATGGACACAAACCATTAAAATAAATGCAATTTTAAAACGATTCGAAGCTAGTAATCAGCTACAGTCGTGAATCACACCAAATACAAGCATATTCACATACTTGAAGTGGTTTACGCAAATATTAGAATAGAATAGAATATTTTTATTCAATATAGGTTACAAAAAAATTTTTTATAAGATAGGGTGACAAACGATCACGCAGTCCACCTGATGGTAAGTGGTTGCTGTGGCCCATAGACATCTACATCTATCTTCGTTTGCGAATCAAAATGCGTTGTCACCCGTGAGGACTAAGATGGAATGCCTCATTTCCAGTAAAAAGGGTCTCCGGTTCTCCACACTCACCATACGAAACAAAGCAGCGTTCAGCTACTATTTCACGCTGCTATTCTATGAGAGCGTGATCATTCCCCGGTCGAGCCGACACATTCGTGCTACAACTATACTACTAATATAGCTGCAGCATGACTCTACCACTTTATTGAAAGCCACTGGTTTAAAAAAAACCTCTGTTCTGGACAGAACTAGCTAGCCAACCCAGCAGACTTTTTAAGCATTAATTTCCAATATATTATGTAGAACAATTATGTTATACAATTATTAGCGTAAGTTTGTTAAGAAAACTTCTATAACAAAAACACACACTTCAAGTAGACTATGCAACACGTGGGTTGTAAACTCTAAAGAGTAAAATGAAATTTTTTACACCCTCAGACCAATAAAAAAAGATAGACAGAACACATATACGTCATATTTCTATTGTCGCCGAAATCGTGCTCAGTTATTAAACTGAACACGATTTCGGCGTCATAAATTATATTAATAAGAACACGCACTCACGCACATACACAACCATTTTTTCCGTCTGTCATGTACACTGTATTCTATCTTTCTTTGTTGGCGTGAGCAGCTTGTGATTATATTGACTCTCTCACCCAGAAGACAGCAATGGAAGAACTTCTGCTTAGTGACAGAAATGGGTGGTACCAACCCAGACGGATCCCTACCAAGAAATGGAGCCCTACCCAAAATATAAATGAGAATTTGATAGTAAAACTTTCACATATAACATTCCATTCGTGTCCACGTCCATTAATAATAAACCTTAAATGTTCCTGTATCGGTTTCAGGTGATTCAAGAAAGTTTACAGATCCCAGGCACTGGCTTAAATCTAGTCTACCACAGCTCAAGAGCCGCTGGTTACTTGTCCACAATTCAGTTGCAGCTTACACCAGAAGAAGTGCCACCGACCTTAGCTCTTATACATTTGAGAATCACAATAGAAGGGATACTTTTCGAGAAGACATTCGAAGCTGATCCAGTTATCAAATTCACATACCCTTGGAACAGACTCAACGTGTACAGGCAACGAGTATATGGGGTGACCACGGCACTGGTGAAAGTGGGTTACCAGTACACTGACTGTAAGGATATAATATGGAACGTGCAAACAACCAAGCTTAGCGGCCACGATATGAGTATTTCCGATGTGGGTGGATGGAATTTGGATATTCACCATAGATACAACTTCCATGAAGGTAAGCATTTATTTCACAATTACTTTTTGACGTTTTTAATATAGAAACAATATTTTTATAACTGTACAAGACGGATATTAATTGGAGATTTACAACAATATTTTGCTTAACATAAGAAATAGCACGCAAAAAGATTAAAATGGAAAATAAGTTTATACTGTATTTTAGAAAAAATCTTTGACATTGTAAAACTTTAATAAAAATACAAAATATACTGTGTAGTATAATTTTAAATAAGTAATTCAACTGTATTTTACTTTAATTTGAAGTCTCTTGCTCATTTCCATCGATTAGTTTCTATAATAAGCGAAATTGTATTTAATTCTTAGACAAAAGAAAAATCTGCAAACAAGACGAGCCTAAAATGTTCAAAAATAAGATAATTCCTACTTTATAATTTTTCTGTAAGTCTGGTAAAGTTGAAAAAGGTGAATTTCATCTTCATCTTAAGTGTAAAACAGAAACACATACCTTCTTTGTTTGCCCAAAGCCATCATTATAAATCCATTACATCCAACAGTTAAACACTCTTTCCAAATTTATTTCTTCAAGACAAGCACAATTAGAAATAGAAATTTGTATGTTGTACAAAAGTAAGTTCTAATTAGGTTTCGCAGCCTTTCGATTACGAGATTCAAGCAAATCGAATTTTGTAATCATCTAAAAATATTTTTAAAATAATCTCCTACTTGAGTAACAAATAATAACAAGGACTTACTAGGCATAAGAATAGGTTTTCTACGTCTACCACGCGTTTTATTTCTTTTCTGGCTTTTGACTTCGTCTCCGTGAAAAGGCTGCCCATCTCCTTCTTCAAGAAACTTTTTACATCATCTTCTGTGAAATAGCTTCCTACGTTCTTTCTAATACGTTTTATTTGTACTTTCTTCAACTTTTTAGTTGAAGAAAGTACAAATAATTAACCTATAGAATATATATTTACGTTCACTCCGTTAGAAAGGTTTCTATGATATCTTCTCTGTGAGAAGGTTTCCTGTGTCCTTCTTTGCGAGAAAAAAATCTTTCTACTAGCTTCACGTCCTCTCTACGGCTTTCTATATTCCGAAAAGAGCTTACTAGCTATAGATCAGCTTCTTCAGAAAGTTTTATGAAGTTTTTTTCTATTCTATTCTCATTTCTTTAAAACTTTAGGAAGTTTTCTAGGAAAGAGCACCTAGATGTAGAGAGAGCGTCTATTTTCTTTACATGTATCGTGGTCTATCGTACTCGTGTTCCTGTGTGTTGCGGGGAGCTGTACGCGTGACGCGTGACGCGTGTCGTTGCAGGTATCCTGCAGAAGGGCGACGGCACGAACACGTACCTGAAGCAGAAGCCGCGGCTGATCATCACGACGCTGGGCGACGGGCGGCAGCGCTCGCTGGAGTGCGGCGCGGGCGGGGGCGGGGGCGCGGGTGCGGGCGGGGGCGCGGGGTGCGGCGCGCGGCTGCTGGCGCCCGTGGCGCTGGCGGCGGCGCCGGACGGCGCGCTGTACGTCGGCGACTTCAACCTGGTGCGCAAGCTCGCCACCGACGGCACCGTGCGCACCATCGTCAAACTCAAGTCAGTTCCTCAACTCGTCTTTTTGAACTGAAAACTTCTTTACAATCGTTGTAATTTGAAACTCGATGAAAAGAAAAAGCGACACTTAAAAGAGACAAAACATGTGCATCCATATTTAGCCTGCGAGAGAATGAGATAGAATAAAATATACAGTGTTTCCTATTATATCCGGCCTTATCTTCTGAAAGTTTCACTTCTACCGCGTGTGAACTGCACATATGTTTTTTTAGATATATGTTAACTTAATTGAATTAATTTTTTTTAATAGAATATGGGTAACAAACGAGCACACAATCCACCTGCACATTTATCTTCGATTAAAAATCAAAACGCAGATGCGTTGTCACCTCTGAGAAATCAGATGGAATATCTCATTTTCAGTAACAGGGGTCGCTGATTCTCTACAATCACCATACGAAACACAGACCTTACCTTAACCTGATATTTTACGCTGATATTCTGTGAGAACGTGGTCCTATCCCAGTCGAACCGACCATTTCCTGCTACATCCATAATATAGCTGCAGCGTAGCTCTACCACATAATTTGCTTCCATAGTAGGAGGCAATTCAGAAAACTGATGATAACAAAATCAAGTGATCACACATCTATCATCTAGATCAAAAATTTAATTACACAACGCGATAGCTAAAGAATTATCGTTACGTTGAGTGAGTACTGTGCATCGCACGTAGCGGAGAGGGTAGTACCACCATTTTGAGGCCGTTTTGTTGCGTACACGTATTAACGTAAAACACACGGCCGTGTTCACGATACAGCGACCTCCGTTTTTTTTTATACAATAAGGGTGACGACCACGCAGTTCACCAATGGATGTTGTGGCCCATAGGCATCTACATCTATCCTCGATTAAGAATCAAAATGCTCTGTCACCCCTGTAGACAAAGATGGAATGCCTCGCTCCCGTTAAAAAGTGTCTAAGTGCAATAAGCTGCTATTTTACGTACAGTTAACAAAACCTACCTTTTTAATTAAATTATATTATTATGTATATATCATTAAAGCACCTCACAAGTTGAAATTTGATTTGCCTCAATCGAATTGGCAATTGCTGGTAAAAAAAATAAAAACTGGAAATAGTAAGGGCGTTAGGGATGAATGTAGTTGTATTAATAATAACATTTACCTTTGAATGGGTTATTACAATTAATGTTTTCATAAACAGTTAAGAATGTACTACAATTTTAGCCATTTATTAAATCAAATGCAAATGATTTATTTTATGAAATGCAATTATTATTAAATGATACTTAAATATTAGAATTAAAATATGCTCAATTTTCAAGACAGGACACATACTTTTGGAAGCGAATATTTTACAAATTTATGACATAATCTTAAGTTTATCTAATTCCTAAATCTCAGTTTAACTGTTATTAGAAATTTTAAATGACGTATTCCTTTCTTCTTTACAGCGCTACTCGGGTGTCATATCGTTACCACATGGCACTATCACCATTAGATGGCACGCTCTACATCTCCGACCCCGAATCCCACCAGATCATCAAAGTACGTGATACCAATGACTACAGTGACCCGCAACATAACTGGGAAACCGTGGTTGGCTCCGGTGAAAGATGCCTTCCTGGCGATGAGGCTCACTGTGGTGATGGCGCGTTAGCAAGGGATGCTAAATTAGCATACCCCAAGGGTGTAGCAGTCTCGATTGACAATGTCCTGTATTTTGCTGACGGTACCAATATCCGTATGGTTGACAGAGATGGCATTATAACGACTGTGATTGGAAATCATATGCACAGAGCTCACTGGAAACCGATACCTTGCGAAGGGACATTAAGCGTCGAAGAGGTCCACTTACGCTGGCCAACGGAACTAGCTATAAACCCACTCGATAACAGCCTCCATATTATCGATGATCACATGATTTTACAAATGGCTCCAGATGGTCGAGTAAAAGTTATCGCTGGTAGACCACTTCATTGTCCTTCGCCGTTGACTGGGTACGACATGGAACTAGCGACTTACGCTACCCTTGTTATGCCACAAAGTATAGCATTTGGTGCAGCTGGAGATTTATACGTAGCAGAAAGTGATTCTCAAAGAATTAATCGAGTCCGTCTTATCACCACTGATGGAAAAATAACTTTGTACGCTGGCGCCGAATCGAAATGTAACTGCTTAGAACGCGGCTGTGACTGTTTCGAAGCAGATCATTTTCTTGCGTCTAATTCTAAATTCAACACGATCTCAGCAGTTGTTGTAAGTCCGGACGGTATTGTTCATATCGCCGATCAAGCCAACTATAGAATTCGTTCAGTTATGGCAAGCATTCCAGATGCAAGTGGGGCACGAGAATATGAAATCTATTCACCTGATACCCAAGAAATTTATATTTTCAATAGATTCGGTCAACATGTCATGACTAAAAACATATTGACGGGTGAGAACAACTACGTATTTACATACACCGTCAACACCAGTAACGGAAAACTAAGTACCGTTACAGATGCAGCCGGAAATAAAGTATTCCTTTTACGTGACTATTCTAGTCTTGTCAACTCGATAGAGAATACAAAAGGACAGAAATGTAGACTCAAAATGTCTAGAATGAAAATGCTACAGGAGTTACGAACGCCGGATAACTTCAATGTAACCTTCGACTATCATGGTACAACTGGTTTATTAAAAGCCAAATACGACAGTACAGGAAGAAGTTACATTTACAAATACGATGAATTCGGAAGACTAACATCAGCGGTAACTCCAACTGGCAGAATCATAAATTTGACTTTCGATCTCAGCCTCAAAGGTGCTACTGTAGTCGTTAGCGAAAACAACAGGAAACCAATATCAATTCTAATTAAGGGTTCATCGGTTAATACAAAAGTTGGTGAGGCAGAAAAGAAAACGATTATTACTACAGATGGAAGTATTTCGTCAAGCTTACCATGGGGACATGTCGTCTCTACTGATACAGTACCCTATACTATTTTGTCAGAGATAGATCCAATTCTAGGTGAGAGCTATCCAGTACCAGCTAAACAAAGAACTGAAGTCGGCGGTGATTTAGCGAATCGGTTCGAATGGCGTTATTTCTTAAGAAGACTTCAATCTAACAAAGGCAAAAGCAATAAAGCAGTGGCACAGATTGGTCGAAAGTTACGTGTGAATGGTGAAAACCTACTCACTTTGGAATATGATAGAGATAGTTCAACGGTAGCTGTATTTATGGATGACAAAGTGGAACTTCTTAACGTAACCTACGATAGAACAGCGAGGCCAGTCAAGTGGAGTCCTAGAAGCGGCATCTTCGCCGAAGTAGAACTTGATTACGACAGATTCAATAGGCTTACCAGCTGGCGTTGGGGCGACCTCAATGAAACTTATGGATACGACAGAGCCGGTAGACTGCACGAAATACGCTACGGCGATGGTTCATCACTAGCTTATTCGTTTAGAGACATGTTCACAAGTCTACCACTGAAAGTGACCACACCAAGGGGAAGTGACTATCTTTTGGATTACGATGATTCTGGTGCCCTACAGAATTTAACAACACCAAGAGGTCACATCCATACTTTTGCATTAATGACCTCGTTAGGATATTTCAAATATCAGTACTTCTCACCGATGAATCGACACCCATACGAAATCCTCTATAACGATGACGGTCATATCTTGGCTAAGATTTTCCCACACCAATCAGGGAAGATCCTTTACGTATACGATAACACTGGTAAACTTGAGACGATACTAGCTGGGGCTTCTGCGATTCGGTATGTGTACCACGAAAACACTCATCTTGTGAAGAATGTAGAGATCACTGACCCCGATTACGAACTCAAACAAGATTACAAATATCACGCGGGTATACTCAAAGATGAAAAAATTAAATTTAACTCTAAAAGCGGCCTAAACAACGCACATTTCAAGTACCAGTACGACGGGAATGCGCGGCTTTCTATGATCGACGCCAATATCAACAGTAAAGAAATGCCACAGCTGAAACTAAAATACAACCAGAACCTAGGCATGTTGGAAGCCATCAGTGATCTTAGAATATACAGAAACACTTTCAATCGCTCCGTTATGCAGGACACAAGCAAGCAGTACTTCACAATCACAGACTATGACGACCACGGTAGAATCAAAACCGTCCTGATGAACATCAAATCCTTCGACGTCTTCCGTTTAGAACTGGAATATGACGTAAGGAACCGCATTAAAATGAAGAAGATGATGATTGGCGATACATCATCAAGCGAACGAATCAGTTACAACTACGACGGGCACCTCATGGAGGTGGTCGGCTCCGAAGACGACTGGAAATACGTGTATGATGAAAATGGCAACGTGATCGGTGTGATTGAACACGGAGAGAAACGATACCTTGGCTACGACATTGGCGACAGAGTAGTTCAGTACGGAGACTTGGAATTCAGCAGCTACGACGGACGAGGTTTTGTTATAAGGCGCGGTGAACAAAAGTACAGATACAACTCGCGAGGCCAATTCGTCCATGCATTCGAAAGAGACAAGTTCCAAATGTGGTATTACTATGATGACAGGAACAGGTTGGTAGCTTGGAAGAATGATAAAAATAACGTTACGCAATTCTTCTACGCCAATCCGCAAACGCCTAACTTGATTACGCACATGCACCACCCTAAATCTGAAAAGACTGTCAGGTACCTCTACGATCAACGAGACTTCCTTACTTGCATTGAAACTGAAGACCAAAGATTCTACGTCGCTACTGATCACAACGGCTCACCACTCGTTGTATTCGACGTGAATGGAGAAATAGTGAAGGAGATCAAACGTAGTCCATTCGGTAAAATAGTCAAAGACACTAATCCAGGGTTCTACGTGCCCGTCGACTTCCATGGTGGTATACTCGACTATAATACCAATTTAGTGTACTTGGAGAGTCGGCTATACGATCCAGTTGTAGGACAATGGATGACGCCAAGTTGGGAACACCTCGCAACAAAGCTGAGTTTACCGACAGATATCTTTATTTATCGTTTTAAGAACAACGACCCGATAAATAAAAACCAGAACGTTCCCTTTATGACTAACTTGGCTAGTTGGTTACAGCTCTTTGGATACGATCTGAATAAGATGATGGGATCCAAATACATCACCGATATGGTCTTCCAACCTATGACATCTGTAACTGCTCCTCAATTAGCGCCTGACTTCGGTGTGATGTCTGGACTGCAATGCATTATCGAAAAGGTATGCATAAACTAAGTATTTTAAGTGATTAAATATTTTATGCTCTCGCTATCTATGTCGTCAATTTGTTACAAATCTTATTCTCTTCATTTCAGGTGAATGATAAACTATCAGATATAGACTTCGTACCTACACCGCTGCTCAAAATGGAGCCTATTACCAGAAACCTACTTCCGAGGGTCTCGTACAAACGAGGCGTTTTCGGTGAAGGAGTACTGATATCTAGGGTCGACGGGAAAGCCTTCATAAGCGTCGCCGACGGAGCAAACAGTGTCGTCGAAGACGTCATAACAACTGTCTTCAACAACTCTTACTTCCTCGACGTACACTTCAGCATCCATGATCAGGACGTCTTCTACTTCGTAAAGGATAACGCTTTGAAGATCAGGGACGATATGGAGGAGCTGCGAAGGCTTTCTGGAAAGTTTAACGTTTCTCAAGATGAGACTAACGACCAAGGATCAGAGGTTTGTTACAATATTTACTTGTTTAGTATTAATTATCGTATTATTTTTATAGTGACAAAAATAAACACTCCCATTAAAGTAATATGTAATAATAATGTCCTTCAAACCGAATTTCGTTCACGGCGATCAGCCTCAACGGAGACTAGCCATCGGCGCAGGACAGGATTATAGTGCCCAAGTGTATGCGCAAGTACAGGTGCACTCTCTATTCCCTCACTCTCATAGTCCGATGGGCCGGTAAACCGACACGACCGGAGAGAGATCAGGCGCAGGAGCAACGGCTTTACGTGCTTTCCGAAGCACGGGGGTGAGACACCGCCAACTTCCTGACTTCGGGCAACTACTGAGAATTTCTTGATGGAAAAACATAATAACTGATATTTATATGGCCCGTGCAGTGCAGTCGCACTATTACAATTACTAGACTAACGAGGTAGTTAAAAGTAATATGTACTACGTACTAGAACAGACACTGAACAAAATCTACGCGACAGTGTGCGCGCGTGGGAGGAAGCATAGAGTACCTTTTTACTCCACAGATTAAGTAAGTTCGAGGTTGCGGGCTTTAACACTGTTGCACACAATCAAGTCTCAGTGTTTGTTTTAGTACGAAGTACATATTATTTTAATGTAAAGTTTTATTAATTTTACTTATGCGACCGTCGATTGTTATTTATTTAGCAACATTTGTAGTAGATTTACGTTTATAAAAAAATTATATGATTTAAATGAAATTACGAGAAGTATTTACGGATTTCATCGCGTATATTAACTAATTTTATATTGCTGGCGTTTTGAGCACTTAACAGCACCCATTGTCACGGGGGAACTGAGGTGTTCGATATTCCAATATAATAGTTAACTGCGGCTTGTTTTTGATTAAAATTATTGATTTTGTGTTCGATTGAACCTTCGTATTCATGGGTGCTGTAAAGTGTACTCACAGCGTGAAGTAGAAGCTCTGCTTCTGCATTTCGTCTCGTGAGTACAGGTGGCCGGAGGCCCAATGCTTCCCCTCCCCCCCTTAACATGGTAGCGGAGTTAAATAATATACTAACCCAGGAGGGTACCAGCACCCTCGGTGACGGAGAATCCCTCGCTTAGCATCCACGCACACGCTACCCTACTCTTCCTGAACATGGGTGCTCAGGCTGCCCTGCGTATTCTGGGAAGGGCGAAATTCCGCTCGGGACTAAACCTGCTCGGGACAAACGGAGAAATAAGTCAAAGGCGCCCCACTGTCACGCTATTCGTGAATTTCTGAAACATCAGGGGACTTCATTCAAATCTTAACGCCGTCCACTACCATCTGGAAATGGCGAAGCCGGCCCTACTCTTTCTAACCGAGACACAGGTGTCCTCTCCGGCTGATACTTCGTATCTCTCCTGCCCGGGGTACAAATTAGAACAGTCCTTTGTGCCCCGAGCTGGAGTTTGCGTGTACGTCAGAGAGGACATCTGTTTTCGATGCCTCGGCAGCCTTGAAAGTACGGACCTGTCCATCTTATGGTTGCGCGTAGACAGCGACGACCATCCCCGCGTCTACGGGTGCTTCTATAAGTCCCATAGCGACAATGCCGACACAGACCGACTCTCGATTAGTCACGTCCACGTCCAAATGGCTGCAGACTCCGTGCTACAGCAGGTCCCATCCGCAGAGATCGTGATGCTTGGTGATTTTAACGCCCACCACGCTGAATGGCTTGGTTCTCGTTTAACCGATCATGCGGGTAGATCTGTTTATGACTTTGCTTTAGCATATGGTCTGACACAACTAGTTACCTCGCCTACGCGGAACCCAGATGTGCAAGTACATGTACCTTCCCTGTTGGATCTTCTGCTGACTTCTCATCCGGACGGATATCAGGTCTCCGTCGATGCTCCTCTTGGCTCCTCGTACCATTGTCTGATCTGGAGTAGGTGCCACTCACACTCCCACCACGGTTGCGTTCTGCATGTTGCCGCCGTATTTGGCATTATAGGTCAGCCGATTGGGACGGGATGCGATCTTTTTTTGCATCCTAACCTTGGAGGCTATTTGCTTCACGCCGGATGATCCCAGCGTTGTTGCTGATTCTGTCGCTGATGTGGTGCTACAGGGAATGGAACTATTTATTCCATCATCAGTACCAGGCAGAACCCAGCCATAGTTTGGTCGCTCCTGAAAAATTGCATTACGCCATAAGCAAGAGTGCTACCAAGCCTGGGCTCACGCATCGACGTCTCGGAATGCAAATACGGGCGCTCCAGGTCCTTCAAAAGTGTCATTGTCAAGCAAAGTCGGAGCACGTCGGCAGAATTGGCGAGATACTAGTCGTCTTCTTTCGGGAACACGTGCATTCTGGTCTCTCGCCAAGGTTGTCCAAGGGACTTCTGTCAGCCATCTCTCCCATCTCTGCACAGGGAGGACGACTCACTGGCCCATGCCGCGAAGGAAACCGATCTGTTGGGTCTGGTCTGGTCTGGTTGGGTTGGACCAATCTTTGCGTCCAACTCAACTCTTAATGACTGGGGGAATACACCGCCGACGATCCCGCAGTGTGTGCTCCATGCAGGATGTGCTGTTTACCCAACGCTCGGTGTGCAGAGCACTCCTCTCTCTGAACGTCAAGAAGTCGAGTTGGCCTGATGGCACGGCTTTAACGCGTCTTTTCCAGTACTCCTAGGCGTAATCCCGAAATCATGGAAGACAACTTTCGTGCACCCGATCCCTAAAAAAGGTAACCGCTCTGATCCGTCCAACTATAGGCCTATCGCCATCACCTCCTTGTTCTCTAAAATAATGGAGCCCATTATGAACAGCAAGCTCATGCGGTACCTTGAGGATCACCAACTGATTAGTGACGGTCAGAACGGTTTCCGTCGCAATTGCTCGGCTGATGATCTTCTGGGTTACTTAAATCATAAATGGGTGAAGGCAGTAGAGTCCAAATCCGTTGGCCCTTAGTTTGGACATTGCGAAGGCCTTCGATTGGGCTTGGCACGAAGTGCTCTTACGAAGCTTCTTTTTTATGGGCTTCACGAGACATTGTGCAATTGGATCATAAGTTTTCTTGCAGATCGGAGCATCAAGGTCGTAGTAGACGGTGCATGCTCCGATTACAAGCCCATTAACGCTGGTGTTCTACAAGGCTACGTGCTATCGCCAACGCTGTTTCTTCTACATATTAATGACATGTTGCAAACCGGTAACATTTATTGCTAGCATTTTATGCGGATTACAGTACTGGTGATACACCGGTCGTGCCAATATTTCTCGTGAAAACGTCGCTAAGTACCGGGACAAACTTGACTCTGAAGTTGGAACTTTGTTGAACAGTCTCGGATTGGGAGTGACTAAATCTAGTCCAGTTCAATTCCTAGAAGACACAAGTTTTCGCGTTTACCGTTAAAAAGAACCCCTTCGTCGTAGTTTTTCAGTTTCGAGATACTCACGTTGTTGCCTCAGCCAGTATCGGAATCCTCGGCGTCGACATATCGAGGGACATGCGGTTTTGCCAAATTGGTCTCTAAAAACCTTAGCGTGCTTAGCAGAGTGGGATACTATTTTATGCCGGCACACTGCCTGTAACTTAACAAGGCGCTGATTCGGTCGCATATGGAATATTGTTCTCATCTTTGGGCTGGGGCTCCCCAGTTTTCCTTTTAATCGCATCCAGTGCAGAGCTGTTCGAATCGTTGGCGACCGAACTCTTTCTGATCGGTTTGACACATTGACACTGCGAAGACATGTTGAATCTTTTTGCGTATTTTATCGAATTTACCACGGAGAGTGCTCTGAGGAATTGTTCAGACTAATTCCAGTCGCACAACTTTACTATCGTACATTGCGACAAAACCGGCGTTATTATCTATACTATTTGGATGACTGGCGATCCACCACTGTGCGATTTGAAAGAAGTTTTCTTCTTTGCACAACTTTCTTGTGGAATTGACTGATACTTAGGATCTTCAAGAAAAGAGTTTATTCCTTTTTAAAAGGTGGGCAACATATCTGCAATTCCTCTGGTGTTGCAGTTGTTTATGGACGGCGGTAATCACTTACCATTAGGTGAGCTGTATGTTCGTTTGTCCACTCTCCTATAAAGTTTTGGAAACGTCGCGAATATGAAAGGAGTTTAATATCCGCTATAAAGTAGTGTACACTGCAGGTGCGGGTGCACCAGGTGGGCGCGGGTGGGGGGGCGGCGCAGGCGGCGCTGGTGCTGCGCTACGGCGTGGCGCCGGGCGCCGAGCGCGCGCGCCTGCTCAAGCACGCGCACAAGCGCGCCGCCGCGCGCGCCTGGGAGCGCGAGAAGGCGCTGGTGGCGGCGGGCTGGGAGGGCCGCGCCGCCTGGACCGAGGAGGAGAAGGAGGAGCTCATCTCGCACGGCGTGGTGGACGGCTGGGCGGCGCGCGACGTGCACTCGCTGGCGCGCTTCCCGCAGCTGGCCGACGACCCCGCCAACATCGTGTTCGTGCGCGACGCGCGCCGCAAGCGCAGGAAGAGCGGCCGCGCCCGACACCGCTCGTGACTGCCCTCCCGCCGCCCGCCGCTCCCCGCACGCTCACACACCAACTAGGCTTTCAGTTTTTACTCATTTCAAAGGACTGAAGTGTTTTATGTCTCGATAAAGACGGCTTCTAAAAAGTGAGTTTGTCTCTAGAAAGTGAGTTATTTGTGATTATCTTGTAGACGTGTGTTCTGTGAACTAAAGTAACTCTTCATACGAGAACGGTCCGAATAGTTTGGAATTGGCTCTAGAAGTTGGAAAATTTTATTCATCGTGCGTTGAACACGTCATAAATCGATCAATTTTTTTTTGCTACTTGTACTTAGACTATTTTAATTGAAATGTGTAATAATAAATAATCCCTTATGAAATATCAAAGAATCTCACGATATAACTCACAGGGTAACGAGTCATGATCGATTGAAAATTAATAAAGTAATAATAACTGAACATAAAATACATGAGAAAATACTCATAAAACGATCACAATTTACTAATGAACTTTTTGATATTACTTTACCGTTTTTATATTATTTTATCCTATACACTCATCGCTTAGATTATTTCTCAAATATCATGTATTCCTATCGTATTTTAGCCAAATATTTCGTTCTATCCATATAACTAGGTATTTGTAAATAGCATTTAATTATTGTAATTATCCATTTAGTAACGTTTATCCTAAGTCCCTTTAATTACTTCGCAATACTATTACTCTTTAAGCAATATTTTATACTTTACTAAGCTCGTCTTGAATTTAATTGACCCCAAATTTTTAAAACGAAAATTTACTGACAAATATAAAATGAAATTTACAAATGTATTTGTCTCTCAAACCCCACAAAAGACCTCTATCTTTCTTTTAAAGATCAAGTCTATTTCACATAAAAACAATAGGCATTATTGAAATGCATAAAACCTTATAATATAAAAAAAAAACTTTAAAACACCATACATACCTACTCCATCACAAGTATTTAAAAAATAAGAAGCATAATATTACATTTGTTAACAATGCATTTAATTCATGAAATTTATTTATTATATTTTAAAATATTTATAAATTATGCGTTTTTAGAATTTATCAAATCTTGCAGAAATTATGTAAATGGGTTCCTCGTGATGTTAAAAGAAACCTACGCGGCCTAAGAATATTATTCTTGAGTTTGTTAATAAAAAACCGTGAATCTTAGAACCAATGATGCTGTGTAAGCTTACCAATTTTTTTAAATCAACAATCATACATTTTAAGTCAGTCGTGTTTTTTTTTAATAATTTATCATATTCTTCACCATAAAATTCTTAACCCCGGAATCTCAAAATATCTTTTATAACACTGAAACCCCGCAAGTCCTTCTAATAGAAAATTTGTTAAACTAATCTAATTGAAAACGTTGATACGTACACTCTGCATGTGTTGTGCAATAATCGAACAGTAGGTTTTACAATAAAATTTTAGGGTCATACCTTCTTGCTGACTTATCTTAGACTGCATAATTTCTTAGAGACTGATGGTGAAAAAATACTCTTTATTTAACTTTTACTTCTTACCTGTGGTCACTGCGTAAATCCCTCTCAAATACGATATGTCAAGAAAACCCGGTTCGATCCGTGAAGTATCGTGATATGATACTTTTCTGTTATCCATTTCAGAAAATAAATAAAAATAAACCAAAATAAAAAATAAATAAATAGGGGCTAGGGAGCATAGCAGCAACTTAAGCGGCGCGGGCTGCCGTGGGGTTGCAATACTACCTTTATTATGTCATTGACCGAGGGTATTGCCAGATTTTAAAAATTGTAAAATGTAGTAAAAACATGTATTTATTATTATATTTATTATTAATATCATTACGGTGCTTTTGGATCGGATAGAGTTTTCTTTACTTAATGTATACTTCATATTTTTAAGAAATATGGACCTTGTTAATATATTTTAGATGCTTCAGTAATGTGATAAAAATGGCATGAAAAAGATTAAATTGCAGTATTTAAGAATAATGCAAGTTTTTCACTTACCCAAACCATTCTTGTTCATTGCAATAATATTTGCTCCAGTATTATATCTGATCTAGTTAAGACGCATTGACCTCAGTTAACAATAATATTAAGATTGTATTCTGCGAGCGTAATATTAATCGTAAGTCAGTAAGAAGTTAAAATAATGTAATTTAATGAAAGTAGATTTATAGTTTATGTCCATAAATGTGTCTCATTTAAATTGTGGTGTCTATTTCATGTTAGAGGTACTAATTTATATGCTAGTTGACTGAGTGGTTCGTGATAGGGCGCCGATGATATTTTTTACAAAAAGATATTATAATAAACAATGGGAAAAAAATTGTAAAACTGTGGACAGTTCCCCGGGTCCGAAGTATATGACCCACGCGACGGTGATATTTTTGCAAAATGTGAGTAAACGAAGCAATACTTTGTAATGTAATACGTCTTATTGTTTTTAATAACTATAAGGTGTAATTTTTATTTAAATTAATAATACAATTATATATATATTATATTATCTATTGTGAATGTAGTTATTCATTTCGCGGTGATATTTAGTAGAGCGTATAGTTATCTTTTTTATGATGTATAAAGAATTCTAATTTGTAAATAGGTACTTAAAACTGTATCGTGTAAAAATATTGTACATATCTGTACGCTTGAATTATTTATAATGTTAATTTTATAAGGTTTTAGAATACGGAGTCTATTGTAAAATAGTGAAACATCCTCGAACGGCTGTTTGCGGCTGTAGAATGAAAAGTATGTTTACTGATCGAATTGGCAACTTCATCACCTAAATATTTTCCTAGCAACATTAAATAATATTAAAGAAAAACAAATCCTCTTGCTTTTTAATATTTTTTTGTAACTGCCACACTTGTATGGATTTTTAGGTGCCTTTTTACCGGTTGCTAAGGTAAAAGGTGAGGATATTTTAATAGTATACCATCAACAACCTTACCATAGACAATTTAAGCTTCTAGACTTTTAGAGAGCTTCACAGACGCTGTCAAAATACGTCTAAAGTAGATCTGAATTTCTCGTGCTGAATCTAACACTTTAATTTGTATTATTGTAGATACGATGCGTAGGTTCCAGAATATTCTGTGTATAGATAGTCAGCCTTCATACTCATTCGGGTGTGAACTCCTAGTTCATGGATGCGTGCGTGCTATATGGAAGGCGATGGAAGCATGTACAATAATAAATATAGAAAGTATTCTAATGGAATATGTAATAAAAACATTAAAACTTACAATATCTTTTATTTTTTGTACTCCTTTATGGTATTACTGAACGTTGTGGCAACACAATGGATTTTCCAAAATGGTGACAACCATATATTAACTTCTGGTCATATTTTTTTAACTTTTATAAGCCAGTACTTGACTACTATCCCACCTTAATGGTATGTATTGGAGATACGAAATATTAAGGTCGAATGCGTGCTATGTCACAACAAAGGAGCGGAGACCAGCCGAGCGTCTGACGGTGATGGAACGAAGAGAGAGGAATCAAATCACACAATTTCTGCTCGCACTAAAATCTATCTTGTAAAATACCGAAAGACTGCTTTGCGCATGTGCTCGGGACTACTAATCTTACCAAGGTTAATGTTAACCATATTGATGTCATCAATGACTTTCTTAAAACGCTTTTCCATTGAGTCCAGTGCCGTGGTGGCATATTCCAGCACCAGCATTTAGATTTAGAAGGTAAAAATACTCCATGCACGACCCGGTTTGAGCTTTAAAAAATATTTACTGAAGTAGTTAACTGTTCAAGTATGCTGCAAAGTTGCAGAAAGATGTAAACTCTGAACTATTTACAAATTACGCTCAAAAATAAGTCACTGAAAAATCCATTTATCACAGCCTATAAAAGTCCACTGCTGAACATAGGTCTTCCCCATAGTTGCCACGCTTGGCAGGTGGGCTGGAAGTTATCAGGAAGATGCTGCTGTCCATCTACTGTTTCAGTTTCTCTCTGTGGCCTCTTAAAACACCCTCGGAACGATATGGGGTTGTAGATATTCTTACACCGCCACTACAATGTTTTGTTGTTCCATTTACTGCGTTATATTGCCACAAAGTATGGTCCTAAGCCACCTGCATCCATCAACTTTCTGAATCTCTTAACAGGTCGTCACTCCATCAAATGGAGGGCTGTCCAACACTGCGCTTTATTCCCCATCGGTTGTCGCTTATTCGAGCTCTATGGCCAGCCCATTGCCACTTCAGCTTACTGATCCGCCTGGCTATGTCAGTTACTCTGTTCTTCGGCTGAAATTATCGTTACGGATTTACTAAGATATCTTCAATTTCGAACCTTATATCGAAAAACAGAAGGTTGAAATTTTTGTTTATTACACCAACTAGCAAAATCATTCATGCCCACTATTTTACGGGAATAGTGTTATACGCGCTGAAAATACAAAAGACTAGAAGCAAATAAAACTAAATTACAAATTGTAAAAATATTTATTTTCAAAAGTGCTGGCATACAACTAGTGATATGTTTCGCAATAAAACTAACAATGGAACTTCATTTGGACGTTAAAACCTTATATACAAAAGCTCAAAACACTAATATATCTTAAATAAAGTCGAGTTACATTAACACTACAACAAACAAATCAAAATATTCTTAAACAGTCAGACAGCTTATCAATAAGCCTCTATTTCAATAGTTAAAAAATATAAACATTTTAATATGTGCAAATACTTAACGACGTTACTAAAAACAATTGGGTATTTGACACTAGTCAGTTGAAATACTTATAATAGTAGGCAAATTAAATAAAGTTAATGAAATAAAAGTATTTTAATGTAATTGTATGAAAATATAGTAAGTGTAATAACGTCATAATTATTGTTATGTCAAATATTCATCTTATTTGTATAAAAACATACAAATGCCTGACTGACAGACCTGACTTGCAGAGGAGGGACTGTTTTACGAGTATGTATGTATATATGTAGCTAGCTAGATATGTAGGTAGGTATGTATGTATGTCTATTTCTTTGGCACGCTCCGTAGCCTAAAGGGCTTGATGGAGACTACTTGGGTACTTGGGCTTGTTAAAGACTAATAATCTATTTTAACTCGATTAATTATTAATTAATATTATATAATACTTAATTATTCATGTTCGTGTCGACTACCCAATTTTGTATATAATTTCCATTTCAACATTTCGGTCTTATTCATAAAAATACTTAAAAGTAAGGTATAGGAAATATGTTATATTTTATTAATTAATTATTAAGATTCTGGATTTTAATTCGAATTATAGTGACAGTTTATGCAACTCAAATTTAACAATAAGCCTCAGACCAACAAAGAAGACAGACGGAGTTTGCAAAACATTTAATTGCATATTTTGTTTTAGTTGTGTAAAGAGCAATGGCAGAAAAATAGATGACAAAAATTATAGCGTCTAGAAATAAGTTATATACAAAATGAGTTTTATTATTTTTCTATGACTTTTCAAATAAAAATGTATTTTAATTAAAGCCACAGAAAAAAACAAACATTTTTGGGAATATCAAATGACTGAAATCATTTTACTCTATTCAAATGTTGCCATTTAGTATATTCATACTATTTTCGTATACACTTTGTAACACTACCAACACAACACACAAAATATTTTTATATTAAGTTATTATTAATAATAACTGTACTATCAGTAATAACAAAAATAAAAGTAATATGGCTGAGAATAAGTCTCTTACAAAGAATTTCCTACAATAATACATTATCTCAATCGTAGTACTATGTAACAATTCCATTTAATGTTATGCCAACACTAGCTAAAATAAAATGTCACTGTTTTTTTTACTGGCTTTACGGCTCTGGGTTCTAGCCCTTCTGAGAATGTCACTATGGTACAAAAGCCCTGGAGCCATGCCAAAAATATACATTTATAGTATGCAAATATATAATAGAGATACAATAATCTAAAAACTCTCAATTATGTATTATGTATTAAGCTAACATCAAACAACCACAGGAAGCGTGACTTTTTCCAAGTGACATAGGACATAACCTAAAAAGGTTCAAATGTAAATATCTTTTTTTTGACGCCTTCTCAGTACAAAATTCTTCGACAGAGTTATTATGGGACTGACGCTTAACATTTTAAGATATTTTTGGTATATAGACGCTACCATTTCTTCTCAACTAATTTTATGTATGAAAGTCTGCCATTGCTCTTTATTAAAGAACATGCTAAGGTAATCATGACATTATCAAAGCTATTATTTTTAAGTAAACGAGATAAAATCCGTAAGATTAGTTATACTCAATGTATAGTAGGTATTTATCCGTGTTATAGTCTGTTCGCTTAGATACGGTCGCCTTTGTGTCGCGCCGCCTTGTTAAGTGCCGCATTTTATCTTTATTGTTAGATTTATATTGGAGTTGCCCGCAGGTATTTTTATGATTTCTTAATGTGCCCAGATATGTTAACAAGAGTTGAAAAAAATGTTGAGGGTGCCTAGAAGAGTTGTAGTTTTGCATTCAGTGGCCATGTGAACCAACAAGTGACAACACAACTCCAGTAGTTTAAAAATTTAAACTACTGGAGTTGTGTTGTCATTTGATGGTTCATGTAGAATAGAAAAACATTTATTTAACAAACACTGTAAAAAATAATAAAAATACTATTGGTAAATCTAATTGTGCATGCCTTAAGCGCATTAAAAAATACGTATAACATGATTATACCTAATTTTTTAAGTAGTTTAAATACACACAAGTTTTCACTCATAACCTTATTACTATACTTCCAATTTTTCGATAATTTTAATAAATAATTAAACATAATGCTCATATGATAGTGAAAAAATGAAAAACCAAATGTAAATTGTAGTCCTATTCGTAAAAGAGTCCCAGTAGTAGTCACCGAAGTACACCTTCAAGTCACTCCATCAAGTCCGGAGGTAAGGTCAATTCTTAACTAACAAAACGAGCCCAAACTCGGTACACCTAGTTCTCCTCGTCGAGGAGTTCCAGTAGCAGTCATCAAAGTCCACCTTCAAGTCACTCTATCAAGTCCGGAGGTAAGGTTTCATCATCAACGAGTCCAAAATCGGCAGTTCTAAAATTTTAACAAAGGGTATTTGAATAATCGCATAGAGCCATTTGTATGTTCATTATTTAATTCAGATCATGAATCGGCACCTTTATCAATGAAGAAAATGAACACAAGTGAAATTTAAATAAACATCTGTAGTAAGAGCGGCCATTTTGATTCATAATATTAATAAGCTTTAAATTACATTTTATTTGACCGCATAAACTTTCTAGCAATTTTAACAAATAATAAAGATTAATCATCATTGGTATTATGAAACAAATCATAAAAATATTTTTTTTTATTTGAAAACTGGTACTTCTCGTGTGGTCCCATATGAATTTGATGAAGGTTAGACCAATAGTTTTTGAGTTATTCTTAATAACTTATATTGAAGTCGGCTGTACAAAATTTTAAATTATCGTTAACAACTGTTACTGCTTTTAGGGAAATACGGAATAATATTACATACTACGTGAAATAAACTTCAAGTCTCGTTGACAAAGTGCGCACATAAATAATGACAACGTTTTCTTTGTCACATTAACAGTCGCATTAATAGCTCGCTGTCGACTGAAGGAGTTACGGAGAATTGAGCGTAAGTTAAAGCGCTATTTATTTGTACCGTAAGTATAGTAACATAAAATAAAAGTCTAAATAAGACTGATAAGATAAGACTTTTACAAATAAGACCTTAACAAACAATGTCTTTGTGACTTGTGCATTTAATATGATAAATATTCTAATTAAATTACAATCTAAAACGATTAATTCTTAATCTCTTTGTAACCAATGCTAGCGGTGAAATTTTCTACCATTTTCTAAATTCCTAATACACATTAATCTAGTTTAAGTTAGGCATTTCGTGCATCATGTACGTCTACTCTCGTCTGATATTACGTTATCCCGTGTACGTGACGTCGTATAGTGGCGGTGTAAGAATATCCACTACCTCACATCGTCCCGTGAGTGAGGAACGGTAACTGAAACAGCAGCATCTATCCTATAACAACTCAAAATAGTAAGAACAACGCAACACAACGACAACGCACCTGTAATCGTAGCAACTATGGCAAATATCCCCATATGAACGATCTATGGTGGAGGTCCATCTTCCGCAGTGGACATTGATGGACTGTAATGATAATGATGATGATGATGACACCCATTTTATCTATTTACAAAAGCTTTATCACAATCCACGACAATGATTACCTTTACCTAAACAGCTTGTCAAAAGTCCACTGAAATCAAGACCTCCCCTATAGATTGCTTCACAGGGGGGATATTTGCTATAGCTGTCACACTCGGCGGACGGGTTGTCAACGTAGCTTTTAATTTTTTTTGTTATTATGAAGACGCTCACGCTCATCTCTTGGTTTGACAATGATTGTACTAATATATTAAATTTACATCTCTAATCTTCTGTATATTGTATGTATTAGCCTAGTTGTAAGAGGCAAGCTCATGGTTTTAGATAGCGGTATAACCACTTACGTCATTTACGTCAGAAAATTTCCAGACCTTCGACGGGCACCAGGGTCAGAAGTGATCTCGTCTGGCAGTATCAGACAACATCTGTTAGAATCAATACACTCTTCTATCCAAAAGCCAAAGGTGACGATTGAGAGAAATCCTCCCTGCATCAGGAAATACACACACAACAGTGCATTTTTACGGGCTGATGATGAGATCGGAAAGAGGAGGAAGAGAGATTGGAAAGTTGAGATTTTCTCATAATAACTTCTTTCATCATCGAGTACATGGTGAATCATCAAACAACGAATCAATGTCGCTCAGTTTATTCGTTAAAATTTTGAATTTAGAATCATTCAAAATAATATTTTAAAATGAAGACGTATGGCCATTTGTTGGTGGCGTGCTAAGATCCTCCTTCCCATCTAATATTTGACCTACCAAAATTGCAAAGTATAAATGGGGTCAGCGGGGATCAAATTTGAGGTACACATCAATTAAATGTTTACTCGCATCTCCATTTCAGCACAAAATATCCCAGTGATATCTATTTGTACAATTTCGAAGTTTAAAAATGAAAAAAAAAAGTAATAAAAAATATATCGCAATATAATTTTTAAGAAGTACCTAATTTAAGCCGCAAGATGTCAAAAGACGTGATAAAAAAAAAGATGAGTTCAATACATTAGGCCAGATAGACAGAATTAAATTATAAGGGGTATGATGGCGGAACCCTAAAATTAAGAAAGTACATCCACCTTAGCGAAATATATCTAACAATAACAAATAACAAATAGGGGATCATATTAAAAATGATCCTATAAAAAAAATTCAAAAGCTTTTATATAACTATAACCGTTTACAAAAATATTATTTCTAAAAGATAAATTAGAACCAAATTAGTACCCTCCATATAAACTTTGATTAACCCGTCATGTGCCCGGCCATTTTACTTTTTAGGCGCCAGATGTATGGGGCCGTACTTGCTGGCGCTAACGTAAACAATGATATCTTTTTAATTTACTTATACAGCAGCACAATAATGAGGTGTTAGTTTCTTTCCCAGCTGCGTTGGAACCCAAAACGAAGGCAATATTTTGGCTAGTTTGTATGTAAGTTAGTTTCCTTGTCCACCCGTATCCACTAAAGTAATTCTCGGATATTGACAATCAATATCATAATTAAATGCGCACAAAAATGCACAATCACAAAAAATATTGTGGACTTTAGTTTCAAAAAATGACCACATTCCATATAGTAAGTCAATTTATGTTTTTAATATAAACACCGAGACTCGCCTTTGGCCGAAATTCGACCAATAAGGGCTAAAATTTCCTTAATTCCTAATTTTTTTAAATATTTTTATTATAATTTTCCGCTCACCAGAAGTCGCTAATTAGTACTGTGGTGAAATTATTTGTTACACAATGCCACCACATAAGCGAAAAGGTGTGTTACCTACATAAACATAACAATGCCTAAGTGGTTGCTCTGTAAATTTTTGCACATTTTGAATTCTCTTTTTTATTCTGTAACTTTTCGGAATATCAATGGTTTGGTTTATGTATTTTAATCCAATTAATATAAAATATAACTGATATTTCAGAAAGAACCATTAAACTTTATGGCGTTCTAAAAATTTAACTTCCCTTCCTTCCATTCCAAAGTAGCCTGGATGCCTAGCTAATTGTGTAGAAACAATGCTGAGTATTTGCATTTTTTTAAATATTTCTCATGCAGGGAAGGCAAAGGAATCTTAGCTCATGCAGCCATATACATCATCAAAATGCTTTCATTTAAATGATTAAAGTGCTTTGTATGGAAAAATTATGTATGCATGTTCACTTTTTTTTTGCCTGCCTTAACCGCCACATACGCACATGATTTTCTGTTTTGCACATATATGGCATAGTACCTTTCAAATAATATAAGTTTCATTCCTGTCCTTTTATAATAAATACATAAAAAAGTACTTAAATTTTCGATGATAACTTATCACAAGTGCATTGTTGTTAACAGACATAACCTCATAAAGTTAAAAGCCAATATATATCATTAAAGCTTTCTAATACAGTCATAAAAATCAAAGGGGGATAATTGCAACCCCCACCATATAAGTAACAAATAAAAAAACCTCAAATTTCAGTAGTCTTCAACGGGCCCTGTGACTTTTAGAAGCATTTTATCCCAGTTCTTCATTGCTTGCGCGTCGACTCTGTCCACTTCCCACTGCTGGGACATGGCGTCGCTGCAGCGGTTGATGAACACATTGCGTGTAGCCTTCTCCCAGTCGAGGCAGTTGTTGTTACCACCATGCTTCAACTGCTTCGTGTCCTACGAAAAATAGTATTTAGTACATAGAACTCATAATTATTATCACTAGTAAACCGACTCGGCGTCACCTGGGTGGTACTTATTAATGTCATTTCTGTCATCATTTAGATTAAGACAATAATCAATAACAATTTGTTTTAATCAATTTTTCAATTTCACAAAAGAATCTTCATACTTTTCAGATAAAATAATACTTTTTAAAGAATAAGGGTGACAAACGAGTACACAGTCCACCTGATGGTAAGTAGATCCTGTGGTCCATACACATCTACATCTATCCCCGATTAAGAATCAAAATGCAGATGCGTTGTCGCCCCTGAGGACTAAGACGGGATGCCTCGACCCTAGTAAAAACCGGAGCCCCCGGTTCTCTACACTCACAATACGAAACACAGCAGCATTAAGCTGCAATTTTACGCAGGTATTTTGAGAGAGGGTGGTCCTACCCCGGTCGAGCCGACCCATTCGTGCTACAACTGTAATATAGCTGCAGCGTGGCTCTACCACGTAAATGAATGGGAATGAATAAGTTAGTTAAGACTTTTACTTTTAAGATTCATTTCATTGATCTTTATAGTTTTCTATAACGTTTAGAATCGTAGAAAGTCAATTTGACCAAAAGAAATAATTCTGTAATTTGGGACAAGCACATGTCCAAGTTCGGCATAAAATATAAGATAGAAGTTTAATTTTATAGCAAACTAGCTGGCCAGGCTGACGTTGTTCTACCCTTTCCGACGACCCTTCCCATAAAACAAAATCCTTAAATTCGCAATAAAAAAATATTGAAGGTTATTTCATTTATCGGGATAAAAAGTATCCTATCTCTCAAGTTGGACCAAACTGAACACAGTGTGGAAAATTTCATTGAAATCAGTTCAATAGTTTAGGCGCTCATCGTGGTTAAACAACGTGACACGTAATTTTTATATATAAAGATAAAGATTAATACATATTACAATCTTTATTTTTAGACTAAATTTTAGTATAATAAGTGAAAAGAATATTTTCTTTCGAGTAAAATTGCTTTGTAATAGCGCCATCTACTTTATTCTATAAGTAAAGTCATTTTATCGAACAAAAATTGATTGACTATCAAGGTGCTACGTAAAATAGACGCCAGATGGCACAAATTTATGAAATCGTGGATTATTATGAATAAATTGGAAATGATAATCTCATTAATATGGTTAATTATATAAAATTTGTAAATGTTTATATTGTATATTTTAACAGTTAAAATTTTTATTAACCATCTTTAAAACACCGCACATGGAGGTGACCAAGATAATAGGAAACACTATATTTAAAAAAAACACTAGCAATGCTAAACATTACTAATATTCCCTTTAACCACTCCACACACACTTTCGATACCGATTAACTTAAATTTAAAACGCCATTTCTCAATTATGAGTGAGCTGAACTAATTATAGATTATACATATAAAATAAGATGTATATAAAATAGGACACACACATATATATATGTGTGTGTCATCGTTACAGCCCTTCATAAGTCCACTAATAATTGTAATTATATATACATTACTTCACTCCCAACTAGCGACATCTGGTGAGCGTAAGATTTTTAGCCTACATTGGTCATTACTCAATCTTCACCTTGGCTAAAAGTAACGAGTCCTACATGAGCCATTTTAAACTGGCTGTAACACGTTACGGTGTTTGTTAGAAAATATTTTTGCATCTGCAGTTTGATTGTTAATAGGCGATAAATGTAGATGTCTATGGGCCACAGTATCCACTTACCATTAGGTGGACTGTGTGCTCGCGTTTGTCGACCCTATACTATAACAAAAAGAATTAAGAGAAGACATTATTTTTCGTCCCATTCCAACAGTAAGGTTTGAGCTTACCAAATGGTACCGCCACAGCTGGTTGCCACCGCCCAAGTGGCAAGAGTAGAAAAGGACAGGACGCTTCGGCGTGGAATCGGGAACGTCCCAGCACATGTTCCTATCCTTTGACCTGGAAAGTAATAATAACTTAATACCCTTGGAGTCTTCTACTTACTGGTCTATACGTCTACGAAATAGCCAATAAATATGACGTCGTTTTTCAATTCCGAAGACTGAAGTGACCTGTGATGTGTTGCTATTTTCTACCGACTTCAAAAAGGAGACGGTACTCAATTCCATTGCATGTTTTTTTCCTTTTTCATGTGAGTTACCTCATAACCTTTTTCTGGGTGAACCGATTTCGATGATTTTTTTTTTATTTGAAATCTGGCCCATCTCGTGTGGTCCCATATAAATTTGATCGAGGTCTTACCAATAGTTTTTGAGTTATTCTTAATAATTTTTATTGAAGTCGGTTGTACAAATTTTTAAATTTTTAATTATTGGGAGTATTTGAATAGACATATTCAGTCGTCCATTATCAATTACAGGCTATTAAAAGTCTACTGGTAAACATAGGCTTTCTGATTATTACTGTGTGGGGAAATATTCGGCATAGTTACCAACTCTTAAGACACTCACGGTAAGATATGACTCGACCCAACACTGAATAAAATTCGCGTGAATCTAGACAATTATCTTGATTTCATGTGAATTACTTTCCTTTTTATAAAAGTTAAAAAAGTTTAAATTTTATAAAAAGGAAAGTAATCCTTTTTATAGTTTTCCATTAAATGGAAGATGTTTATTTCAATTACATAAAGCTTTAACATACAGGGTTTGGAGATCACCTTTTAAGCAAAGAGATGCTTGTGTTAGAGGACTCCGTTCATCCACTTAACATTATACAGTGTATGTAATTGGAAACAAAATAAAAGAAAAGAAAGTACAAAATACAAAAAAGATAAGGAGCGCACTTGTGTGATTGTGGCAGTTTACAAACACAAATTGCACGACGACAAACATCCAGACCCGGAAAAATAATTTGTAGGCCAAATACTTGTTCCGTGCGGGATTCGAACCCGCAGCCCCCAGTGCTACAACTCATTGCTAAGCCACTGCGCCACGGAGCCGCAAATTCGATTAGAGTTAACGATTGTAGAATGCGAACTTTGCTATGTCTGCTGGGGTCCAACAGGAAAGTACCCCCTTTTATTTATTTCTGTACCAAGCAACAGTACGCGCACTGCTGCGTTCCACTCTGAAAGGTATAGGGAGATAGTACAACTTGCAGGCTGGGAGACATTCTTAAACGTTACCTCCACACTTGGATTTCTCCTGTGTCGTCGGAGGTGTTTATATACATAAATTTCACAAGGACAAACTTCCAGACACGGAACAATTATTTGTAGGTCATACACTTGTCCCGTGCAGGATTCGAACCCGCCTCGGAAGGAAGGCGCTGTCAATTTCGTCTTAGTCCGCAGAGGTGAGAAAGCATTTGCAGCCTTTTTTGTCTGAAGTTAGCAACAAGTGTCCATGGACTGCAGTAGCCAAGTATCATCAGGTAGACTGCAAGTTCAAGTCAAGGTCAAGTTTTGTCACTGCAATTTTATATTAAAATAAGTAATATATCTGTATGTGTTTATGAATATACAGGGTTATTTTTCAAAGGGTAGCCAAATTTCAAACTTAAGTTCAAATATACAAAATAAATAATATTGCAGTTTTTGAAAATACGAATAAACAAGGAGTCTACTTTTATTTGAAATTATCGCAAACTGAATGTGATTTATGGGCAAAAACTACGCGTATAACTAGCGGCACGAAAGTCTAGCCGTGACCGTTATTGCGCATAAGTCATGCGTATCGTTCGCACGCGCTGATTGGCTTTCCTCCCCTCCACGTTTTGTTCAGCGCCAGACTTACACGCCAATTCACAAGGTTTTTGCCGACTGATCGACGTCTTAACAGATTGTGTAAGGTCAGACTTTAAAAAAAAACTTTAAAAATAATTCCAACTATGCCATTTTTTCGCGTTATTAATATTTTTATTTTTAAAATAATACTACTTTACTAATTAAAAATCTTTCTTTCGTTGATAAATTACTTATGGTCAGGATGATTTAGATTAACTGTCAAAAGTGATACTGCCAAGTGAAACATTATTAATTATAATAAAATTACATTTAATAATATAACAATATTAATTAGTTACTTGACATCATTTATTGATTTTCTGTTGTCTTACGAGAATTCAAATCATATTGTTGTAGAGACTGCTTTTTTTGGTAGAAGGTTTGTTACAAAACTGAACAGAAAATTAAAGAACAACGAAAACCCCACAAAATAAATAGAATAATAAATTGAAAGTGGAACAGCCTTTTTATATCCAATTTATGCTCTCATACAAAAACGGTGACGGCAACGGTGGTTCATAGAAAGACGGGCAATCTTCTTTGGCTGTATAAGTAATACATATTCTTTATTAACTATAGTATTTAATATCTATAATATAAAAATGAATCGCTGAATGTGTTGCTAAGCGCAAATCTCGAGAGCGGCTGAACCGATTTCGCTAATTCTTTTTTTATAATATTCCTTGAAGTACGAAGATGGTTCTTAAGGAGAGAAAATTGTAAAAAATTGCCTGAAAAAGTATAAAAACAACACTTTTCTATATTCCCATACAATCCCATATAGTATTAAAAGTCAATTTGAACTTTAATACTATTCCATAAAGTTTAAGTGTTAGTGGAGCGGTTCCGGGAAGGCAAAACAATTATAATTTTTATTTTTTGACGTAATGTAATTGTTGATTTATCAACTTTCTTTTTTTTTTATCTTACTAGCTGACCCGGTGTCCCGAATAGCAGAATAAGTATTAAAAAAAAATTAAAGAATCTACTGTTAGGCGGTATGAAGTTCGCCAGGTCAGCTAGTTTCGTATATAGTCATTTTGTTGATCCGTAATTCTTTCATTTACAAATAATATTGCACCTCCAAAGCAGTGTCCCCTGCGTGATTATGGGTTGACTTGACTGGCAGAGAACGTTAATGTGTTAAGTCCGCCTTTGTACATTTTGTGCAATAAAGTTGAAATAGATAAAATAAATAAAAATTAAATCAACTATGATAGGATAAAGTAACTAAGGTAAGCCGCTGTACCTGATGTCCTTGTGCCAGGAGAGGACAAAATGCTGTTCAGTGGAGGCTGACTGCATACACGACTTGATCAACAAGATATCCTTCTGCTCGCCTCGGTGCATGTCGAGACATAGGTGTGGGTGTGACACGGGCCTTATCTGCAATTTAATATTTCGGTTTACATAACTTTATTAACTCATAGAAGAACATTGTTCACTATTTTACAAAAAATAAAGTATAATATATAAACATGTCTAGCACATCGCACTTTTTCAGTAGTGAACGCATTAAAAAATGTTGTCGTAAATGTACTGCTTCAATTTTGATTTAAAAAGGCCAAATGAGTCGCAATCTTTTATATCATTAGGTAATTTGTTGTATATTTAATACCTCGTGTCAATGAGAACTAATAATCTTACGCTTACCAGATGTCGCTAGTTGGGACTAAAGTAAACTTATGTCCTCATCAATGAAAAGTTGCGATTTTATTATGAGCTTTTTTCTATTGTAAGTATATTCTCAAAGCAATGCCTCAGTCCTGTGTATTCTTTAGTTCTTTTACATATTTTAATTTTTTCTAATTCTTATACTTTTAGGAATATCCGTCGTTGGTTAACCCATTTTTAATTTAATTAATATAAAATATAACTAATATTACAGAAAGAAACATTTCGCCTTATTCCTAACTGAAAACACCCAGGTGACAGAAAAAGTCGTGGATACCCTAATTAAAAGGAAATTCAAGAAGAGTCTCCAAACATCAAGAAAAACAAGAATAAAAAAATCCCTCTAGTGTTCCCATAGTGAAAATTAATTAATTAATTGTGCGCCATGCATATTGTAAATAGTTAATAAATCATTTAGTTCGTCTTATTATTCTTCCAATAAAGTCCCAGTAAAGTCTTAGCATATACATTAAGTCTTCAGTAAATACAGTCCACAATAGTCAGCAGTTTCATAGTCTGGTCTCTAAATAAAGACTCCCGTCCGTTTCAAATTCCTTTAGGAACTTAGACGCACGTGAACCCCACAGACCAATAGCCTTTACAGCAAATGGCGCAGACATTTAGCCATCTTTCAGAGACTCGTATTTCTTACTCAGTTCAGCCTTTGATGCCACCCCGGTCCTTGAGATAAGAGATCGACAGTACCTACGCAGAAACAATAACAACTGTACGATAATATACAGTAATGACTTCATAGTTTTAGGAGTCAAATAGTCGTGTGTATTTTTAAATACTTAAAATATAATATATCTTAAACATTGACAACTGATCAAGTTTCAAGACACTACTAAAACTAGCAAGTGCTAGGTGTATAATCGTTGATTGAAGAAAAAATTGAAGATATGATACTTAGCCGCGAAAGTAGACCAAGAAATTTAAACTTTATGTTAAAGTTTAAAATAATTAATTTATACATAAACATTGGTGTATAGGAAGAATAGAAGCCTTGAACCATAGACGCCTCTAACGGAACTAATATGGGGATATTCCAGAGATGAATGAATGAATGAAAATGATAAAGATATTTTATTTTGCAAATAATATGGTTACAGTACATGGTTAATGTTGGTAGAGTGAGTTCAGTCATATTTTACCAATAGGCTTGCAAAAAATACAGAATTATAAACTAATCCACTAAAGTAATCTACTAAACTTTAACAAACAAAAACAAAACCTAACACAATTCTGATTTTTAACATCGTACAGTCTTAATCTCAAAAGATTTTTTTTTCAGTTAAGAAAACCTTCAAAACCTTTTTTAATATATATATTATAATATATAGCGGCAATTCTTTCCAACTTTTAGATAATTTATAATACATGTTAGCTATGTTCGATGAAAACCCTTTGTTTTTCTTTATTTTATAAAACTTAAGTGAGTTGGCTGTTGGCTATTGGCACAGATACCTGCAAACCAACAAAAATAGACAAGACGAGGTAATCCCTTAAATGCACCTGATTTTTGGAACGAAGTTCTTTATCGGACGGCACGGATTTGGCGGATGGGAGCTAGGCGACAAAAAGTGTAAGATTTTTTCGTCACTACCCCTTGTGTCATAGTGTAGACGGCCTTGGCGACGAAATAAGGAAGTGAGATGGAATAATATCCATCTCACTTGCACTTTTTCTTATCTTGCCATGAAAGAAATATTATTTTATTTCAAATGACGCTTCATTTTAATAGACGCTAGTAATTTATTTATTTGTATTTGTTAATCAATAATATAATACCTACGTTTATCAATAATAATATACTACGCAAGGAACTTCGTTCCAACCGAGTGTTCCAGGACACTCACGCATTTTTTTTAATAACAAGTAATAATTTGAACATGTACTCACGCGTCCCTCGGCAAAAGGCTCGGGCTCGACGGGCGGATATTTTGCTGTCAGGTCAAACGCTATCTGAAACGTACAGTGTTATGTTTTTTTTTTGTCATTTAAACACAAGCCTTAAATGGTAATATAAAGATATTACTTATTATTAATGAAATGCCAGTATTTGGAAAAAGTTGAAATTAAGATTGGGAAACGAACGTACTTTAACCGTGTACCGATTGCCATTATCAACGAGAACTGCATCTTAGGACTGGATTTCTTGAAGAATCAGCGGTGCGTTAAAGAATGGATGGATGAGGTATGTTAACCTCATCTATCCATCCTTTACAGCCATAAAAGTCCACTGCTGAACATAGACCTCTCTCATAGGGGGATACCTCATGGGGGGATTTTGCCTTAGTTGCCACGCTTGGCAAGCGGGTTGGCAACTGTAGTTTTTTTATTATTTTGAGTTGCTATCGGGAAGACGCTGTTTTTTATTATTTTGAGTTGTTATCGGGAAGACGCTGCTGCCCATCTCCCGATTTGTTTCGTTCTGTAGTCTCTTACGACACCCGCGGGATATGGGATATGAGTAATTTTAACCTAAACATATAACTCACTTTATTACTACACTTTGTTTTAGTGATCATAGAAATTTATCTATCAACAGTACACTATACAATATATAAAGAAAACCTTGTCCAATCCAAAAGGGGCACATAGTAGGGACATATGAAACAGACAATATTTGTAAATGTATCTATTAGCACATATGTACACTTGAGATTATCCTAGTTCGGGTGCCTGCTATTGTAGACTATTTTAAATTAAAGCATTATTTAAATTAATAGTACAGTTTTTTTGAAATAAATTATAAATTCTTATAAAATAAATTATAGTTACACCAATGTAATTAACTTTATTTTATTTATTAATTAACATAAAAATGTTATAGTCATTTAAAATACAGGTTTTTTTTAAAAATATAATTTGCTTAAAATTTAGCAAATTTTTAAAATCTGGCAACACCGTCGTCGGCGAAGGTATCTTTGAATGTGTGGCGGTATTGTTACCCGGCCCGTCCCTTATAATATTATCGTATTGTATGTTTTCCCCATTTAAATTTATTTTATTTTATGTGGGATATTTCTTTTATTTATTCTTTGAAAAGGATTACATGAACATAGTCATATCGAGATACCTAAGAGCTTACCCATAAAGTTATGTATTTTATAGACTTTTAATGTATCAGTAATATCGTAGAGCTAGTTCTCTTGCAAGTGACCACGAAACTGCACGTCACTCGATATGTCGACACCGAGGATTCCGATACTGGCTGAGGCAACAAGGGGAGTGCCTTTAAACTGAGGAAGTAAGCCTTAATGTGCCTATGATAATAAAGTCTACGTTTATTGTTAAAATTTAAGTAATATTTATAAAAAAGCAAAGTATAGTTACAGCACAGAGTAAAGAGTAAGGACCAGAGGGGAAACTTCTTAACAACGTCGGAAATGTATACCTATTCTGATAGGGTTGTCACATGACGCATGTGAAAAATTTAAGGAAAAAATAAAAATATTGTAAGACAACATATGTATTAATTATAACTTATATTAATGTAACAACATATCTATTAATTGTTCGAAATCAAGTGTTGGTGTAAGTGGTGGTGGTGGTAGTAATGGTTGTGATGGTGGTCGTGGGCAGTGGCGGTGGTGGGGGTGGTGGTTATAGTAATGG